AACAAAGTTCCATGACTTTTTTCCAACTGTTTGTCCATAAATCCCAAAAGAAAAACCTCTGGTCTCAATTGTATATTTTAAAATCCTCTGAATTAGAGTATGTATTTGAATCCAGAATTTTCAAGCTTTTTTACACATCCACCAAACATGATAAAATGTTCCTTCTTGTTGTTCCCATTTCCAATATAAATCTGAAGTGCCTTTCTACATTCTAGACAATTTCTCTGGTGACATATACCAACGATACATCATTTTATAAAAGTTCTTTTTAAGATTATAACATAGTGTAAATTTCAATCGGTTCTGCCACATATTTTCCCATTGTTCCATCTGTAAACAACAATTTTTTTAGCCCAATTTATCGTACATTCTTTCACTCCTTGTTCTTCTGTTTCAAATTTCAATAAGTTTATATATTTTAGCAATGAGATGTTCATTTTTTGTACACAATTCTATTTCAAATTCTTACCGTGTTCAAAACCATAAATTCTTTTGTCTACTTTTAAACTTTCTGATAATTGTAAATAAGAGAACCACTGACACCTTTATGCCTCTGCCACCAGTTTTTCTCTTGATTTTATTTTACATTCCCCTTGACAAAATTCTAGTATCTCGCAATAAGTTAGCTATTTGTGTTTGCCTGTTATTTCTCGTCTATAAAATGCTTCTTGTGCTGAGAGCCACAAAGGTGTTTTTGGGCACTACCTGGGTTTGTATCTATTCCATATTCTCAATGTGCCACGTCTAACATAATGATTAACCTTGACTTTATCATACCACAGTGTTTTGGGTTTCTTCTAGATAGAGCAATAGCCTTATTGGCTATGCACATTGAGAGAATAGTTGGATTTGAGCAAAACCACATGACCAAGATCAGGCTGGTGGATGATGCGAGCCCCTAATCTACCTATACTAGCATATTCGGACCAGAAGTTGCTTGTAGTGTTTGCAGTGATACTACTGTTGTTGTCGCTTCACTTTTTCATGAAAGAGTTCCTCTTCTTCTTTGTGGCATTATTACACCAACATTACTGCACACAGTCTTTCTGGATAATAGCAGCCACCAGCTAGTTTCTAGAATCACTCTTTTGCTAGGACTGGAAAAAGCAATGTGTTAATGAGAGAAAGACATAGGCCACATCAAAAAATGCTGACTGCCCCAATTTGCTGACAATAAATGATGGTTGGGCAGGAAAATCCTAAAGCCTGCAGCACATGCTGCCAACATTTTTCAGCATTGTTCTGTTCAATAAAATCAGGTTTTCTCAGAGGGTCACTGAAGGAAAGTAAAGTTTGACCAAAAAGCCAAGTTTTTTAAAAGTCTGTATACTATAATCTGGTTTTTATGCATTGATTGATTGATTCCTCTTTCTTTTAGGAGGCTGCACCTTTGAAGATGGCCCGGGACCCTGTGATTATCACCAGGACCCCTATGATGATTTTGACTGGGTGCATGTTAGCGCTCAAGAGCCTCATTACCTCCCCCCTGAGATGCCTCTAGGTAAGTCTCCAGAGTGTTGGTAAACACAAATACTTTGTGGGATGTGACTGGATGTATGGGTTTTTTCCCCACCCTGATCAATCTGAGAACTGTTCCCCAGGGAACAGTGTGGTAGCACAAATGAGGTTGTGGTAAGAATTACCTTTGCACTCAAGTGAAAGAAGGAATAATATAACTCATAGGCTTCCAGATCTAACTTTCCTATAAATGTATGCTTATTGTATACCACTTTAACAGAATTCCAGTAAAAAATGACCTAGATTTGCATAAGGTAGCCCAGACCTGAGAAATCAGCACAGTTGCACTGCAGTTGCACAGCATGTTAAGCCTCAGATTTGTTCTTCAACCATACATTCCTTTATCTTATAGAAGTCACTACAATACTCGGCAGTATAAAGATTCCACTTTTACACTATAACTTCCATAGTTTCCAAGGTGTGTACTACCAGTATCATTGCTTGTATAACCAAAATGCCAAAATAGGCACCACCCATGAGCAAGACAAAGGTATGGCTGGGAAATGGGGAAGTGGAGTGTTGAATGTTCTGTGAGATGCTCTTTGGCCAGGAAGCTGGAATTGCTGGAATACTGAGCAACAGCCTTGCATCCTTTCAGATAATAATGAGTTAGTAAAGAGAGCCTCTAACAATTCAGTGCCTTCCGGATGGCATTGGAGAGCCAGCATAGTGGAGTGATTAAAGTATTAGACCAGGCCCAAACAGGCTAAAGTCCAGATTCACCCTCAGCCATGCAGTTCACTTGGAGACAGGGCAGCCCCTGCCTCTCAAGCCAACCTACTTCACAGAGTTGTCCTGGGAAGAATTGGGAGAGAGCATATTGTATATTTTTCCTTTAATATGTGAAAGAAAAGTAACATATAAATCAAAATGCTTGGCGGAGTATTGACTTAAGTCACTCACATTTGAATTCTGAAATGGAATGCAGTAGAACAACTCTTTTCTCACAGTAAAAATTATCTGTTACCTTCAAAGCAGTTAAAAACTAAATAGTTAAAGCTGTTGTACTCAGTACCTACAAAAAATAATGTGACTGCAATTTATATTGCACAAACTCCACAGTAATTAAAGAATATAAGTATGCTTGTATCTGGTGGATTGATTAACTGCAACTCCTAGTCAAGGGATGTGCAAAAGATTTATGCCCTAAAACAGTTATTTTGAGTGTTGTGTGTGTGTGTGTGTGGGGGGGGACACTGTTTTGACAGTTTCGTTTTGAGGCTGAAAGAAAACACACTGTTTTTGTTCCAAGCATGAAACAAAGCTGAATTGTTTCAAACAGCATCCTTTGGATTGTTTTAGCTGTTTAGGGCACTGACTGGACTTCTTTTGTGGATTATTACTGGATTGCTTTATTTATTTATTTTTCCAAATCTTTTCCAGCCAAATCTAGCCCCTGTTGCACTTGATTTTGATTGGATGGGGAATGTTGAGTGGAGCATTGAGAGGAAAGAAGCAGTTACGGACGTGCTTGGCAGCTTGTCTGGGAAGTTACTCTTTTTTTAAAAAAGAAATTGCTACGTTGAACGTCATGTGAATGGATAGATGAGTTGCATATGTGTTATGCTGGGCTTTATTTTGCAGGCTGGCAATATGAAGTTCTGCACGCATAATTGTACTTCATGCTCAGGTGTTACTAAGGCTGTTGTGTACATTTCAGGACTACTAAGTCCAATGTTGATTTGGTTGATTTGTTAAATGTGTGTGGTTTCCAACACAACACTGTTGGCTTGCTCTTGTGTCCCATTGGTGCTGAGCTTCAGGGTGAAGATTCTGTGTGAGTTTGGGCAGCACGGTCAAGCTTTGGCATTTGGGCGCATTCTGTACGTGCTATTCTGTCTTGCACGATATTCACGTGCAGTTGAAAATCACAGCTTTTTGCCGCAGAAAGTGCAACAGCAAAGAATAATACTGTTACTTTTCTTGACTTGCATTTGGCATGTAGGCTGCTACATCCCCCAAAACATGTTAAATCTGTTAAGATCTTGCTGAATAATGTGTCACATCCACAGAAAAATTGGCCAAGGATTTTTGTTTTTTAAATGCAGAATGTTAAGATAACCTTATAGAGTACATGAGCTAATTGAAAGGGAATGTTAAAGAGATTAGCTGCTCTCTTTGTCCTCTAATCTCTTGGCTGAGCAATTTGGAGGGTTCATTTAAATTGGAAAGGCTTGTGTCTCTTCTCCCTGATAACAGATTCTAAACAGATTTTTCAGAGTGAAAGCAGAGTTGTGTTCCCATTGGTTCCTATGGAGATGTATTTTAAAGTTTAAAAAGTATTTTAAAAATCATCCCCTCAGTCATTTTTTTTCAGTAAGTAGTAGTCAGCATGGACCACAACTTCACATGTTTTTATGGCCTGAAAAACAAGGAAACAGAAACTGGTCCTAGGTGCCCTAGTTCTGGTTGTTTGAGGTAGGCTGGCCAGGGTACAAACAACGCAAGGACTGCTGGACTGGAACTCTACTTTTTTGTTATAACAGTGTTCCTCAACCTTGGCAGCTTTCAGATGTGTGGACTCCAACTCCCAGAATTCTCCAGCCAGCATGCTGGCTGGGGAATTCTGGGAGTTGGAGTCCACACATCTGAAAGCTGCCAAGGTTGAGGAACACTGCGTTATAGGATAGAATAGCTGAATCTTGAAAGCCTGCCAGAGTTTCCCTCTGCCCCCTGCTTCTACCAAGCACCAGAACCAAGGCGGGTTTATTTTGAGTCTCATTCCCACATTCTCTCTGAGTTGTCATTAATGATCTCTTAACCAGTTCTCCTAACAATTCTTGCATTCCTTTGACCAGACTGTCTCTGCACTCTCCTATCCTGATGGATGCTACACTCTCTTAGGAAAGAGATGTTTGATTTGGGGAGTTGCAAACAGATGCTATACACCTATCCACCCTACTCCAAATCACCTTCTCCTTTTTGATCCAGATTCTGCAGAATACCATAATAGTTATCTTCAAACTATAACAGTAGCAAGACAGGAAATATTCCCAGAAAGTTTATTGACATAGCAGTGAAAATAAAGGAATAAGCACCTATGCATTTGGATTACTGAACATATCCTCCGTGTGTATACACACCCACACTTGCTTAAATTGATGTAAAGTGATGGGTTCATGTCTTCTCAGCATGTTTTTTAAATACTTATACTTGATTATAAAAAAATTATGTTTTTATGTTTAGGGCACTGGGGGAGGGAAAGCAGAAGAAAAGAAAAAGAGGGACCTTCTGACTGTTCTTTAGTTTGGGAATACCACTAGGATTCTGATTTATGGAAATGTTTTCATTGTTAATTACTACTGTGGACAAGATAATGAATAACTGAAGAGGTACAGCATAGATGACCTTGTCTGTTCACCTTTGATAAACAGCTTAATCGGTGCTTTCTCGACAGACTGATATGCTGAGCAGAATGAATGCTTCTGAAATTCAAGTTCATTTTTCAATTAATGGGATATTAAATAATTAATCATGCAAAAGGAGGAAATAAAGGTCAGGACTACTTTATTTATCCCTTCAAACAACTTGCAGCTATGTAAGGATGGAATAAGGGACCTTTGCACTATAAAATTAATCCTACCTGCTTGCAACATCACCATCCTTTTTCTTGTCTACATTTCTCTAATTAATTATACTTAAAAGCAAGCACTCTTTCACTTTTATAACTAGCAATTAGGCTTTCACTTTTATGTAGTTCCAGTTGATAAATGGTTGAATGCTACATTGCATCTTCCTCATTAAGTTCGATAATGTATTACGGATGTATTTAAACCAATTCTTGTCTCCTGGGTGATCTCATGATGTCCACTGTTGTTCTAGAATGTGAGGGAAATCAGTGTTTATGCTGAATCAGCTTTCTCTGGACTAGTGAATCACTGTCAAATTATTAAATATATTAGGCTGGATCCATAGTAATAGTCTGTTCATGGTTCAATTCCCTGAGCATAAGTTTATTTAGAATGTTTCCACAAATGCATTTTTGTCCATTTTTGCTGATTAACATGTACCTGTACCACCCCTCCTGTTTTTCTAAAAAGACAACTGATCCTATGAAATCATAGACAAATGCAAGGGTAAATAATCAAAAATCACTTTATCATTTCATCAGGAGGTAGGGAGGTAAATGATACAATTATACATGAGCACATTTCATGTGCAACATTTAAATATTTTAACAAATAGAATTAAGACAAAATGTTTATATGAAATTTGTGGATTAGGTTGTAGCATTAAGTAAAATGAAATGCATTCACATAGTGACTGGGTTTAAAAGTTGTCCTAAACCAGGATTTCTTGAACAAACCATAGTAGAAGAACAATGGTTCAGTAGTCGAGAAGAACACTGCTGTAACACATGGTTTATAGACCGCAGTGCCTAGGTTTGCACAGTGCTTTGAACCATGATTTGTTGGATAAATGTGTCTTACAAAAGATGCTAAGCCAGAGCTAACTAAACTACTACATAATTTGTTCTGGATGAGCCAAGCCAATGAGAGCAAGTTTTTCTATTCTTGTATTGTACAAAATGTTGATCAGCTTCATGTACATATTTTGTTCTTATTCATCTGAACATCTAGAAATAGTTTAAATTAATGCACAGATCCAAAGCAGGTTATTACTGTGTACCTATGAGCATGAAATGAAACAATGCCATAAGCTTTTTAATGTTGAGCAGCAGATGAAATAAAATTCACTGCAGGTATTGCCTGCTTGATGGGCAGGCAGTCCTCCCCCCTCCCCTCAATTTCCTATCTAAACAATCAATGGTGTGTCCAGATTCTGACAATCATAGGCAGTCATGGAGTGGTTGTGAATTTCCAACATCACATTTCTCTTTGTTCACTCTCCTTTTTTGTTCTCTTCTCCTGGTTTAAAATTTTGATCCTCTGTGAGGAGACACTATCCTTGTAGAAGTAGTACTGCTTCACTGTAAAGGGAGAGGAGAGGAGAGGAGAGGCTCTTGCTAACGAGTCAAGCAGCAAGTATTTTGAGGAATGTTAGCTTTGTTTCATGTTAAAGGCACACTGATGCCAGATTTTGTTACCCAGTCTGGTTTCTTATTGGCAGATATTGTTAAATTAATTGTTGTTTTGTTGGTTGTTTTACTGCCAATATTTGTTTACTGGGTTCTGAGCCAATTTTCCTGGATTGATGTGTAACTATTCTGCTGTTGGGGCTTTGTTTTGTTATACCATGCCTTGGTGATGGCACGCAATAAATGAATTATAATTGTTACTGCCTCACCTTACCTCTGATTCATTGGCTTAAGCCTGTCATTTCCCTTTCCCCTTCCTCCATCGTGTTGATACAGAGCTTCAGCCTCCTTTCTTGAAACTGGCCCTATCTCTATGCATTGGATAAAACTTATCTCCCTGCTCCCCCATTAACAACATTCAACCAGATTCCCAGCTACTGAAAAAAAGAGCCTGAGTTGCAGAATTGCTGACATGCCATCATATTTCACCTTCATAATTTCAAGGAGTTTTTAAATGCAATAAAGAATTCTAAGGAGCCTTTGGAAGATTCTAATGCCTTTGTTTATATTTGTTTCCTCACATAGTTTTCCATCAAATAATTCCATTATTAAAAGGCTCAATTAAAAAAAAAAAGAAAAGCTTTTTTTTTTTGGTACAGTAACTGATGGGATATGGAAACATTCAAGTCAGCTGGTAAGTGTCAGGAATATTTTAGTTAGGCTGTTTGGAAAGACTCTCCTGACTTGGAGGGATTTTCACGTTTAAAATATGATCAGGTCTACAGATAGAACAGTCTCTTTTGAATTTGTAATAGATCTTGAACCATTATCTTTTATTGATCTGGGCTACACAGTTTAAATCATAAGGAAATGATCACTTCATGCTTATCATATTTCATTAAAAATGTAAAAACGACTCATGTTTGAAAATACAGTACTCCCTAATGTTGTAAAAAATTGTGTCTCTTAGCTGTGGCTTCCTACTAGGAATATTAGATTTTGCTTTTAATTAATGTTACCAGTAACATTTGTTTCATTCGTTTAGAAATGAAATGTTAAGGTTACATTAATGGTGAGAATGCCATCCTTTTAGGTAGACAAGTTCAAACGCAATATTCTTATTTGTATTATTTCTGTCAGGATTGAAACACCTGATAAAATCAATTACTTGACACATTTTAGTTTTGATGTTTTTCTTCCTGCCATGAAAACTTTTGGATTTGCTTAACATCTGAACTTTGGATATATTTTTAAATAGATTAAATAATCATTTGAAATAAGTTTACTGTTCAGAGTGGCTTGTTTGGATACACATTTGAATTAATTAATTTCATATGGAAGGATGCTCATATGATTGGCTATTTTGTTAATTTTCAGATTTCATTAACAGCACCTAATCCATTAAAGGGAAAGGACCTGTCACTAGGAAGTTGATCTGAAGTTAAAATATGGGTGGACAATTTCAGGCCACAGTTGCATGTGGATTCCACGTGCCTCTGTTATGATCCTTAGAGCACACTCTAATGCAGTTGTTGAGAAAATGGCTATGTAGCATTCTAACATTTTGAAATATAAATCATATGGTAGTTTAGGGCAGGCAATATGAAGTTCACAGAGGTTGTCAGACCAGTGGGATATATTCCATGCACCGTCAGTAGCCTTTGGAAAGCAGTGGCTTGGTGTTGGTTCAAAACAAAATATTTTCCTCATTTTGTGCACTGTTTATCGGAAATTCATTTGGATGGTTCAAGCAAAGCAGGCAACTAGGTATATGCTTTACTCTCAAATCAGTCTATGTATTGTGTCAGCTGATTCTGCTTCTTTCTGTTGGTGCCAAGACAAACCCTCCTCCTGGGCGTCCGAAGTAATTCTTTTCTCAGGCATATGCATTCTTTCTTTACATGAACTGCTATGCTCTAGGCTCAAATATACTAACTCCTTCTCCAGCACCACCAGGCACAATGTGCCCCCCCCCCCGAATTCTGTTTATCAGTCAGCAACTAGCAAGTAAGCAGAGAATGTACAGAGATTCCTGTTCGCTCTAAATCAGTAGTGAATTTATTGCATAGGTCAGAAGCTTGGTTTCTCTCCTGAACAAGAGGCAGGGAGAAAAATGTAAATTCTATTACAACTATGCTTCTCTCTGTACGTACTGTATTTCCGAAGGAAATGTTTGCATTTTCTAAACTGTTCTATGTGAATTTCCTTTCGCATCTCCTACTCTTCACCTCTGCCTGTAGTGCAAATATAGTTGTCATAGCAGAAAAGCAGAGAACCTCATGTAATTTAGTTACTAGCTAAACAGAACAGAAAGCTGAAGAGGAGAGATAAAATGGCATTTCTTGCTGTGGAGATTTGGGAACCAAGGAATCTGTATCAACTGCTTAGAAATTTGTTCTATATCTGTAATGACACAACATTTAATGTGCCTAAAATTAAATGTGAACGTGAAAACCTTTAAAGGCTTTCTCAATATTGGAAGAATGTGTTTTAAAATGCCAAAAGTGGTTCAGGTTAAGCAAGTATAAAATGATGCCCACTGGAGTCCCTTCCCCCCCAAATCCTAATTTCATATTTGTTTTCTGTATTTATATTTGTTGACCACTTTTGTTCCTTAGGTCTGTAGGTGAGCTACAAAATACAAACATAGTAACAAAATAGAATGGTTATACTAATATAAGAATGGAAAAATTAATAAAACCAACTATCGTAATGCCACTAGCAATACATAATCAACTTCCAAAGGACTTATGAAATAGTAAGGTCTTCACTAGCCTTTGGAATATATGCTGATGGGATCAGTGACTGACTAGGAAAGGAGATTTAAGACTGGGATTAATAGCTCAGTTAAAAAGTTGGTTAGTGTAGAACCTCTATGAAAAGAAAACATCTTGAGGATCATTAAATAAATTGGAGTTTTCTTAATACCGTTATAAATAGCTATGGTATCAAGACTACAGTTGAACTATTTTGTAGAGTTCTGATTACAGTTAAAAAAGAGTATTATACAATTGCAATGCCATGTCTACTGCCATCTCTCCCTTTTCGATTGTCTCCCTGCATATGCTACTGGGTGGTGGGGAGTAGTATAGTACTTTTATCCTGCTTGAGGACTTCCTATAGCCTGTATTGTTGATTGGTCAGAATAGAAGGTTGAATGGAATAGGGATTTGATTTAATTCAGGGGGGCTTCTCTTACCTTTTCAGATTATTCATTGTGCGTGTGGAAATGATAGGGAAAAATGATAATGGGATTAAATCCACTGGCAGATGTAGTTTCTACCTCTCATGCTAAAAAAGAACGTTTTTTAATTTATAGACATAACGTTTTGTGGTCTATAAGCTTGAAGTTACTCATTGTGGCTTCTAGGGCAAGTCTTTGGTAATTTCAATTCTTTAAAAAGAGGCTGGATACAGCATCTTAGGTTCACAGCAGCAAATTGGCCAGTTTTTAGTGATGGAGTATTTTCCCCCTTCATTTAAAAAATATAAGTGGGAATGGGAGTAGGAGTCCTCTGAGAAGATAAGCGCTCCCATTCTCACCCTTAATAGACCCTTCTCCCCGGGCTGAAATGATGTTGCTGAAATATGGCCATTTTACCATGAATTTCAGCAGCACTTGGAGTGGGTTGAGAGCATTTAAGACTGGAAATGGGAGCTATTTGCCTCCCAGAGGCTCCCTGCTCCTAAAAAAAAAACCCAAAGTTGAGAAAAGGTCAACAATTTCAGTCCCACCGATTCTGAATATATCACCGTGCTTCGGCTGGAGATGCTTGCTCCAGGAGCATGCTCTTGTCCCCACCCCATTTTAGCATAATAGAATTAATGAATGAAATTTTACCATCCCCAGAACAGTATTAGTTGCAGATTTTTCTTTTTTCCTTAGTTTTAAGTTAGCCCTTATTTATAGAAGTTTCTTTAAATAAAGCCCACTGCTATGCTTACTAAGTTTTCTCTCCTCTGGAATTTCCCGCCTCTGCTTCTAGTATTGTTATTTCGTCTTTCCAACTCCAACGGGTGGCTTGCATAGAAGAAAGGAAGTGGAATTCCTGCTCCAGGGTTTGTAAGATAAGGGTGAGAATGATGGTGCAACAATCAGATTTTTCTATCTTGTTGTCCTTTGCAAGACACTTTAAGTTGCTGGAGGGTATCTTTGTCCTGTTCTACAGTGGTGGTTCAGCTCCTTTCGTGTTCAGTGCTGCCTTATCTCTTCAGTCTGGCGTTCTGTCTGAACATGACTAATTAAAAGTATACATAATAGAAGCCTTTAGAGCTGTGGTTTATATTTCAGTATTGGAAAATTCTGACCTTTGTGTTCACACAGGTAGCATGAGTGCATTTAGATTCAGCCCCTAAAGACAGCCAAGCTTTCAGAAGTTAGAGGCTCTGCTTTTAATCAAGACATGTTGCTTTTTGAATGCCTTCTGGTGGAAAATGCAACAGAGATCAAAGAAGAAAGTCATGACCCCCTGAAATCTAAAAGTTTTTCCTTCCTTCCTTCCTTCCTTCCTTCCTTCCTTCCTTCCTTCCTTCCTTCCTTCCTATAGTCTTGATTATATAATCCTGGAAAGTTGTTAAGTCAGCTTTCCCACCCATCAAGTGCAGTAAAAACACTGGTGTAATGAAACATGGTCGTCACTTATTAAAGTTCTGATTAAAATGCTGATAGCTTTATCCTTGTTTTCTTCTTAGAAAACAAAGATTTCACAGTCTTTACCATTTTCTTATACCTGACCTAGAAGGGTATTAAGGCACTTCATTAAAATGGGGAAACTGGTGTAATGAAGACAGACAATATTAAATATCTAACCAACAGTGGAACAAGTAGAAGAAATATCAATTGCCGCCACCCTGCTTGCTTAACCATATCTCCCCCCCCCCAAAAAAAACCTTGCTAAAAGGGTGAAACTTGCAATTGCACTCATTTATTCCTATCACTGTATGATCACTTTGATTTTTGCAGTTCTCAGTGGCAAAAGAAAAGAAAAAGAGTAGTTACTGATCACAGCATACGTGGTCACTGGCAGATCCCCAGGAATCTGAGATTAAGATGATAGATAGATAGATAGATAGATAGATAGATAGATAGATAGATAGATAGATAGATAGAGCCTTTGAGTCAGTGTTGACTCCTGGCAACTGCCTGGACAAGTCCCTGCATTTTTCTTGGCAAGATTTCAGAAGTGGTTTGCCATTGCTTCCTTCTTGGGACTTAGAGATAGTGACGGCCCAAGGGCACCCAGCTGGCTTTGTGCCTAAGGAGGGACTAGAACTCATGATCTTCCAGTTTCTAGCCTAGTGCCTTAACCACTACACCAAACTGGCGCTCATGCTCTCTATCTCTCTGTCTCTCTCTCTCTCTCTGTCTCTCTCTCTCTTTGGGATTCACCCAAAAGAGCACCAAGATAGAATCACTTTGGTTGATAGTTCTCCCCAGTCCCTTTATGGGCACCAGTTAGATGGACTTATGCAGGCACTTTAGCCATAGGTTAATGCTCAAAAGAAGCAGAGGAAGAAGAATAAGGCATCATCTCATGCCTTGCTTTTTCTATTTTATGTTGCCCTTTTCTTTTCTGAATGTTCTCCCAGGCCTTGTGTTAGGGTGGTTGGGCTCCTGTTGGATATGTCTGGGGGTGTGGGTGCCCTTAGCCAGACTTGCCATCTGTTCTTCTTGTTTATTCTTTTTCTTATTCCCTTTTTCTTTAATAATTTCATTATGTTGTATTTTAGTATTTTCTTTGGTTTTATTGTACACCGCCCAGAGTCAGTGTGGAGTCAGGTGGTGCCTAAATTAAATATTAGATGATGATGATGATGACGACAACGATGACAACAACAACAAAATCAACATCAGTCAATTGCAAAAGGCAGCTTTACTTGGAACAGCTCATATCCTGCAACGATACCTTTAACACCATCAAACAACAAAATCTGCCTATCCCAAGTCCTTTGGAAGAACTCGATAGGTGGATAAAAATGCCAAATCCAGTATAAACATCTGGATGACTGTGCGACCAACAATAATAAATAAGATAAATTCTAAAGAAATAAAGGAAAGAACTTTTTTTTGAAAAGACATACAAAGATTATGGGTGGCTTCTTCCAGCCGCTTGTCTCCATCTCATTCAAGGTAGGATCCAGATGCATCAGACTAAAGCTTTCACTCCATCTGGTGTTGAAGATGTGCAATTACTTCAATGGGTCCTTCCTTCCCCCTCTCCCATCTCATATTGCTATCCTTATGATCCAAAATTAGGGTAAACTACATTTACCATACACCAGGTTTTTCCTAGATCTAAAATGTCTGGGATTCATTCTTTTCCTTTAAGAGTCTGAAATAGCCTTTGATAATGAATCAGCCTAGAAGAATATGGTAGCCTAGAAGAACATGGGCAGGAAAGATACCTGCTGTCTATTGATCAGCAAATACTGGAGAGAAGTTAGGACTTTGGCCAGTGAACATATATAATGCATATATATTGTACATACATTCCATGTATATGTACTGTATAGAGAAAGAGATGCTGATGACCACAAGGTGCTAGTAAGCACAATTAGGGGCCTGAATGATTGTTAGGTTAGGGTAGAAAAAAACCACAAGATTGCTTCATAGATTTCAACTCAGTTGCAATTTTATACTGAAGTTTGACATGCTGTTCAGCCCCAGTTAGCTCTTGTTATTTATATGTATATTTTATATTTGGGCATGGGGCAAAATAAAAAGAAATATAATCCTTTGCCCTGGTTTTCTCTCATTCATAATTTATACGTATTTCATGACTGCTCACATAATTACTAACGTCTTATTTTATTAGTTTTATCTGTTTAGCACTTGAGCGACAGAATATATGCTGGGAAGGGGGTGGCTAAAAAGGAGAACAATAATAAAAGTGTGTGATCTGAGAAGCATATTAGTTAAAACAACCCATTTTCCAAAGTTTTTTTTTTTTTTTAAGACAGTTCAGCTGTGTAATTCTAATATGACAGGACTGAGCTAGATGGACTAGTGAGCCGGCTTGGTAGTAAGGCAAGGGTGAAGGGGTCAAGAGCAGGCTGGGAGCTGATGTGCAGTGTGGACATGTTTGCTAGATTTTTTTGATTATGTTTATACTATTTTAACATTAATAAAGCTGCTTTTTTTAAAAAAAAAAAACCTCTGCTTTGAAATAATGAAGGTAGGAAGGAGGAAGAAATGGGAGATGTAATTTATGGTCAGTACTTACTAGTACTTACTTTTGGGCTCTAGTTTGGTCTTGACACTGACTGTAAACTGCAATGTGTTAATACATCTAACAGTAGAAGTGTAGTGGTGATCTCAGGAAAATACTGTTGAGAGGTGATCTCAGTAAAATACATGCACATTTTGCTATTTTTTTCTCTAAGCACTTTCTTACAGAGCTGTATTTAAGGGTTACATTTACTCTCAGATCCAAAAGAAGTGTAATTATCACATTTGGCATGCCCATTTTCAGCTGCAATGCTTTGAACAACAAAGAGTCAGAGAATTAGAACCCTAATGAACATTTAGAAAGAATGTCATCTAATAAAGGATCCTTCTTAATGTAAAGGCTCTCTCTTACATAAAATTGCACAATGAAGAATGTTTAAAATTACAAAAGGCAGAAATGATAGGCTGGGAAAAGGTCTTGCATTCACTGTTTTGAGAATGTAATATTGTCACATTTTAGAGTACTAATGGGGCTGAAGGTAAAGGTACAGAAGGAAAGATAGAAAGTACTAGAACTTTACATCTGTGAGTTAAAGTCAGAGATAAGAAGGAAAAAACAGGGACCAAGTATTCTGATGAAGTATGTATATCTTAAAATGATGTCTGATGTAACAAAATTAGCAGTGATTTTATGCTCTTAGCCCTAAATGTTGAAGTGGTTTCATTGACTGTGGCCTGTGCCCAGATTCATCATTTGCATATTTATATCAGAATGTATACATAAAAGTTCACTACATAAAACATGTGCATTTTTAAAAGTGTTTGCTTGTTTGTTTAAATTTATTATGGACTCTTTATGTCAGTTTCTTGATACAAAATACCTTGAAGCTTGTAGAGTCAGTCAAATACTATAATCAAATCTGCTAAGACTCTAAATAAAAGCAGGGAGTGTGGTTGGGGGTGGGGTGGGGATTCTTCAGCCTCCATAATTGAGTCCCAGTTGCATTAATTATGGAAAAATCCCTTACCTTCCAAGGTGGCAGTTACTTTACTTTTCCAAGTTTATCCTTGGCCTTCCAGGTAGGGCTGGAATAATTCCTAACTACATAATTGGAGAACCGCTGCTGTTGATCAGTGTTGACAATATCATGCTAGATTAGGGCAGGACCATTATTTTGTAGCCAGGGGACATAATTATTTCTTTGACCTGTTTATTGACTTCTGAGAGTCATGGGGAGCGTGATATTACTGTATATACAGTAATATTTTTTGAAGTACTTGTATATCCCATATATACTCATAGATAAGCCCATCCACAGATAAGCAGACTTTCAAATTTTTAACCAAAATACCATGAAAAATGCGGGTTAACTTATCTCTTGGCGGTGCATTTTTCATAGTGTTTTGGTTAAAAATCCGAGGGTCAGCTTATCCATGGATGGACTTATATGCGAGTATATACGGCAATTTTAAAAGTCCCAATTGGTGCCAAGTGACACAAAGGAATGGACTGTGTCTAGGGAGGGAATGGTTAAACCTGTACTCATTGTATGCATTCTGTCTCTGTGTTGACCATGCTGGTTGGGAATTAATAGAGTTGTAGTCAAAATACATCTGGGGGGAGGGTAGGAGATTGAGGAAGGCTGCTATGGATCCTGCCTGTTCTGTTTTTCTTTGCATTGTAATGTACTATAGTATAAAAACAAGACAGTGTTTAAGTTTAGCTTGAACTTTATTGTCACTAACATGTAAATCATTTTTACTCATCATCTTCAGCATTGGGGACCATGATTAAGATAATAAAATGTGCAGTCTTTCTGTTTCTGGAAGTTTCCCTGCCAGATGCTCTGGGATGAAATTCTCAAGTAGTGCCTGAAGGCAATTTTAAGGGTTGATACCTATTGCATAACAAGATATGAATTCATATAGCATTTCCTATTTTATGTGCAAAAAGAAAAAAAAAAGCCCACAAAACCTTTCAACTTTCATATACTAATCAAAACTATTACAAAAATACATTACTTAATAATAAGGAAAATGGGAAATTAAACATTTAAACTAGTAAATGCAGCCCAGCTGTTTAAACAGTCTTCCAGTTGAAATTCTGAACAATTGTTCAAATGTAGGAGAAGAGAGAAATTCTTCAGACCATTGGTTATTTGATAGACAACAGGTCCTGCCAATCTTGTATCTTTTACCCCCCCCATCATAAAAAGTATGGTGTTCATTTCCATGGTCCTTCTGTTCATTACTAAAGTGTTGGCATTCAGTTCAAAAGAACCTGCCTGAACATCTACAAAAAACAGGGAGTCCTCCAGATCAGAATTAATATGTGAAATAACATCTGCTAAAAGGGAATCATTACCACACAGGACTTGAATAAACAATATTGTATTTTGAGCATGACATTACCAATGAGAAAATCAGTTTATTTTTGTAAGTAGTCATAATTTTCAACTATGGGAATATTCTCTTGCCAAAATTTTGTTCTGTTGATGCCCATGTATTGGTATTCCAATTGCTTTCCATGTCTCTCTATACCTTTGAATATGGAATTTAGTAAATTTTAATAGCCATTTGTAAGCATTATTTTGGAATCAGGCTGTTAAATCCTCTAGAACTAGACCAGGTTCTGAAACAGAGTGGCTGAGTCACATTTAGATGTCAGAGAATGTTTTAACTGAAGCTATTGCCACTTTGCATTTTTGGCAAACATTGCTTATTCATCAACGTATTTCTGGAATCATATCAGAAATAATGTACAATTGGCACAAATATTGTATGTTATATGCCGTTGTTTACTTACGTGCATGAAATATCACATGGCCTATTGAGGCCACCAGTGCAGGTATCCAAAATAAAGCTCTTTCAGCACATAGATGTGTATACCCCATTAGAATACACTTAGAATGGGAAGCCACATCTCTTGGTAACTGCACTTTCTGCCAAATTGGTCTTACTCTTTGCTATGCTTGGAATCAGTGGTCCAATGTTGTCTTAGATTCTAGTCCAAACTGATCTTTAATTAAGGATCTCTAATCTCTTGGGCACTATTGGATAGCTACCAGTCAATCAGGAACAAATTGAGTTAGAACTTAGAAGATATAGTTTATCAAACCAAAATCTTGTTTCTTTGGGAGGTAGAGGGAACTAATAACTTATTGTGGACTCGAGTCTTCAGGGTGATTGGAGTTCCATTTCTCCACTTTATGATTGAGGCAGGGGCCAAAGACGCTTCATTCCAGCTGGCTGCCTGACATCTTGTGTATGCTTTCTCTCTGATGAAATTCAGTACCTTAAGTATAGTGGAATCCCAGATCTCAATTCAGGATGTCAAGAGTCTCCTTGTGTGTAGCACGTAAAAAGGCATTCCAAAACCAGGATTTTTTTCTCCCATTTTGATAGGTTGGGGGAAAACAGTATTTTCTGGAAAGAGCTCCAAGGTTTGGAATCCAGAATATCTCTCTAACGAGAAACATGGGATTTTAATTTTTGAATAGGCTGTTTTAATTTTTTAATAGACTATTTTAATTTTTTAAAAAGGAAAGTGCAATAATATCAACATCCTTTTTTACAAGAATTCTTATGGGCTCGACATAGACTCCATAACAATTCTTTAAGATAGGAGACAATGTTTTGTTTGGAAATATGTCTGGAAGTAAACCAGAAAACTAAACTGAGGTAGTAGGAAATCTCTTGGGGTAGGGGGAAAGTAAGAGGAGGTGGCTGAGAACAAATTTACTTATTTGCTTTCTGATATAGGAGTGTTCTGTGTCTTGCTATATCCACCATGGTAGCCATTTTGAAAATGAACAAGCTGTCTTCCCTTCAACCATGTGTGTGAGTTACTACAACATGGTTTCCAAATTCCAAACATAGCCCCTGTTTCCCCAGTATTGAGGAATCCTGCCTCAAAGAAGTCCAGTAGTCTATCCTGTCTTTAATGACTAGTTGCTTCTGAATTTAAGAAGATGAATTATTTCATTTTGCTTATGGTAGCATGTTTAATACTAAGTGCCTTGTTAGGAGGAAAAAAAAAAACCCTCAGAGCGTCTATCAAAATAAATTCCTTGAGCTGATTAAGCATCTCCTCTCTTTCCATTTTAAAACATGCTTAATACAGCTTGTTAATCAATGTTTTGTTTGGTCATTAGTGATATTAACAAGCACAAGTGCTAGAGTCATAGATTGCAGATAACTAGATTGCTGCTGTTTTACTAAACTTAAATGAGGTTGAAAATAATAAAGTTAAAGAAGAGTTCAGATGAATCTAAGTGAGTTTCTTTAATCTGGGAATCAGAAATGCCTGAATGTTTTTAGAGGAACAGATGCAGTGCTACAATCCCAAATAAGGGGGAAAAAATCTGTGTAAATCTCCCATTAAATATTTCAATTATCTTCTGTTTCTGTTGGTGGCTTTCTCCCTTTGCCTAAAGACTGGCCCTAGCTTACTTTTGTGGGACTGTTTGATTTGACTGAAACTTGAGTCTTTTGAAAATGCTGATTTGATTTTGAAGCCTCTGCACAGTACCGAGCTTTAATGAAGGGGAATCTTAACAAAAAAAGCAAGCTCTTTGAGAAACCGATGCTCCGTCCTCTCTTTTTTTGTGAGAATAATAAGGGAAAACTGCCTGTCACATTAGGTAAAACTGCAGCTGGAATACAGCTGCTAAATAACCAGTTTGGCTCAAATGTAACCATGGGTTTGGGAGAGAAGAATCTGCACTCTTTCTGTTATAGATCCAAAGTGGAACTTGAAACAAATTTCTCTTCCATGCCTGCCATTGCACTCGCCCCCACCATCAGTCAATATTCTGAGACCATATTTCATATTCTTTTAAGGTACTGGGGTTCTCATCTCCCTTCCTTTGCTTGTACTTCTGCAGACCTTAATGTCCTCCAGACCACCTGCCTTCAGTAGATGGTGCAATTTTCTCTGCCAAAAAATGATTCAGATAGTTAGTTTTGCTCTGGGTGTGTATGAGAGGAATTTCTTAGCACCATGGAATGGTTTTTAATCTAATTTAAAATTCAAAGAAGTCAATCATCTAGTAAGACCATCTCATTACAAATTGCTTAGTTGTTTTTATTGCACAGGCAAATAAGCTTCTGATGAAGAATGTTCATATAATTTCTGTTGTTCAAATAACCTTTGAATTCTTGATCTTCCTGTAATTATAACTTGTTTACATAAATATTTGTTTGAAGATAATAATAGAACTGTGAAATAGCAGTACTTAAAGGTTCCGAAGATGACCATCATCTAGCAGTGAACGGTCTAATAGGCATAACAGCCTGACCTAAGGGCCTTGAAATCTAATTTGAGACAATGTGTTGAGTAAATAAGTCAATGATAGAAATGTTGAGACAGAGAACATAATGAGGGCAACATCAAATTGGACTTTGAACATGATGAGGGCAACATCAAATTGGACTTCAAAAAATAATTAGACATCATCACAGAGAAGAAGTGAAAGAAATAGTAAAATCATTATGTATTTTTACATGTAATATTCTACAGAATCTGAAGCTTGTTTGACATAAATATCGATTTTTGGAATTCTATCCATTTTGGTGGTTCAATGTGTAATACTTTTTTCCTTATTATGTCTCTGTACTAGGAGAATGAATGATGTAGCTGGAACTATATTGTTGTGATACATTTACTATTATAGAACATCAATGAATGCTGATTCATTGATATTCTATAATAGTAAATGTATCACAACAATATAGTTCCAGCTACATCATTTAATGGAACTCTTTTTTTAAAATAAAATTGGTAGTATTTAAGACACAAATAATTTTCTTTCTAAGTAACAAAATAACCTATTATTGCTTTACCTGATGCTGGATAAATTCTTTTTCAGGAAGGCCAGCCTGTTGGATTGCCTCAAACTGGGCACTATCCAGATCCTATGGAAGCATTGTAGTTGTGTAATGGAGATTGTAGTGGATCCCATTTTGGGTGTAGATGCATGTCACAATGTCTAGCTATAAACCATATGAAGAAAATAGAAATGGCTATACAATTATATATTTTACTTTATTACCTCATCTGCAGTCCTATGAAGGCTTACCTAAAAGGAAGCCCCCCTGAACTTACAATGATGTACTTCTGAGTGAATATGAAAGGATTTAGGAAATTATGATAGTAAGATGAACCTTTTTTTCATCATCATAGGGTATGCACTAACTATAATCCCATTCAATTAATTTATTCATCTGTAGCACTCACCATATAAGCAGTAGTGAGCAGTTCCCTCCATAAAATCACACTGTGTGGTTAGTCATCTACAAGTATGCTGTGACTGTCTTCAGCAAGAACGTATAGAGAGATTTACATGTGAAGCCTTCCATGTTATGCCCAATCCTGCAGTATCAAGAGTTCCAACTCATATGGGAGACTTCATACATAGAGCCCTCTCTGTAAAAGCTTCCCCACTGGGAACAGTCATGATGATACATCATGACTTTACAGAGGCTAGGAGTTGCTTATCATTGCTTGAGTAGTGCACACAAATGTATCACTTGAATGAAATTTATTTAAGGATTGGAGAGCAGGATGGCATCATCTTGCTCCTGCCTTGGTACAGCAGCCAAGTTTCCATGCATTCAGTTGGTGTTTGAAGGGG